AGCAAGCACTCACTCGACCATTACGCCTACGGGCTACATTACTTCAAGTTCGAATCATTCACTCGACGACTAAGCCTACGGGCTGCTTTCATTTCGAGTTCGAGCAAACATACACTCGACCATTAAGCCTACGGGCTACATTACTTTGAGTTCGAATTATTCACTCGACGACCAAGCCTACGGGCTATTTTTATTTTGATTTCGAGCAAGCACTCACTCGACCATTACGCCTACGGGCTACATTACTTCGAGTTCGAATCATTCACTCGACGACTAAGCCTACGGGCTACTTTTATTTCGAGTTCGAGCAAGCACTCACTCGACCATTACACCTACGGGCTACATTAATTCGAGTTCGAATCATTCACTCGACTAATAAGCCTACAGGCTACTTTCATTTCGAGTTCGAGCAAGCACTCACTCGACTATTACGCCTACGGGCTATATTTCTTCGAGTTCGAATCATTGACTCAAGTAATAAGCCTAAGGGCTACATCACTTCAAGTCTAAAAAAATACTCGATCGATCATAGAGACTACGAAGTCCAAATTTGATTAAGTTGTTTAGATCCTTGTGAAAACATTCATAAAGGCGTGAATAAAGTCTTCACGAAACAGAAGCAAGTCGGCAGAATTATCAATATACAAAATTATCTACATGGTTGATTACAACGTAAAAACTAAGGACTAAACTTCTTGGTCATCCTCAGGAGCGGTCTCTTCTTTATCGGGCTCCCCCCCGTTCTCGGATCTGCTCTTGCTCCCATCATCACCATCGTCATCATCATCGTCATCGGAAACCAGAGCTTCAGCATCAGCTTCGAGCTCCTTGGCCCTTTTTATCTCTTCAGGGAGATCAAAACCACCAGCATAGATCTCCTCGAGGGTTTCCCTTCGGGATCGGCACTTAATTAGTTCGGCTACCCGATGTGCTCGAGTATCGGCGGTCTCGGCTGCCTCTCTTGCTTGGACCTAGGCAGCTTCAGCATTGACCCGATAGACTGCCACGAGTGCATCCGCATCGGCCTTTGCCTTTTCGGCATCAGTTTCGGCCTTGGCAAGTACAAAGGCCAACCGAGCCTCAAGCTCTATTCTTCTCGCTTGAACCAGGCCTTTTTCCTTCATTTTCTGAAGTTGGGTTTCGGCCGATGATAACTGGGCTCGAGCAGTTTCTTTTTCTACAGCAAAGAGGTCCATATCTTCTTTCCACTGCAAAGACTCCGCTTTTATTACATCGACCTCCTCACGAAGCTTCCCGATCATCTCGATTTTTTGCTGTAGCTGTGAGACCGAAAAGTTAGCCATCATTCCGGTATCAAGCCTATAGACTTTCAAAAGTATCATTACCAGCTCAGACAAATCGGTCTGATCTTGGTAATCCTTGGCCAACTTAGCTCAGAGGTCTTTTATTTCCTTTTCTCTCTGACCTAAGAGAAGTCTTAGGGAGTTCCTCTCATCAGTAACCCGTTGAAGGTCGGCCTCGTATCGACGCAGCTCGTTTTGGGACCGAGAACATGCTTCCCGATGAACTGCCGCTGCCTACAAAGAAACAAAAAACGAAGTTAACGAAAAGTAAACATAAAGGTAGTACCGACAAAATAATTTTAAAAGCTTACCTGATTCAAAGCCTGCCGCACTCCGTGAAAAAGATGCGATTCATCATCAGTACCGGCAACGTCCTCGATACCGGTAAACAGGTCAAGAAAGGGATCCTCTCCATCGTGAGGCATGTCTAGATCGAGGGCCCCTAGAGCTTGGGCTTCCCGAATCACCCCTGCGGAAAAAGCGGGAAAGGCAGGTGAATCTTCGATTGCTGCTGCCCCAAATGAATCACCTGGATCATTCTCTTCGGTTCGAAGGGATTCGAGGGCCCCTTCAGTCATATCCTCCATCCGTTGGCTCCGATAAGATGCGTCTCTGATCTCCGATAATTCGGGGACTCCACCCGAATATTTCTCCGGTATATCCTCAGTTCGAGGCAGAGCCTCATGTAGCATCATCGATCCAGCTGCCGATGGGGCATCGGTGGTTCTCTTCGTTCGGGCCACCAACGCGGACCTATCATTTTCTTCTTCTTCATCATCTTCATCTTCATCCCTTAGACGCAGAACTGATTCCACGGTCAAAGGAATGGCATTCTTGTTCGGCTTACGAGCCGTCCACTTCTTCGGTTTTGGATCTTCGGGAACGGAGGCTCTTTTCCTTTTATTTCCCTTCACCGGTTTTGGGACAGAGGCCAAGATTTCTTCCTCGTTGGACAAGGGCCTCAAAACCGCGTCTTTACCCAAACCTTCATAGGGAAAATCTTAATAAAATATTTGAAAATCACCTCGTTCGAATTATCAAAGAGTACGAGAAATGGGCTTACCAAGATTTTTGGCCTCCCACTGACCCTGTGACAAATCACGCCATGAGCGCTCGGCGTTNAGGTCCGAAGTCCTCACTCGAACGAACCTGCCCATCCAACCCCGATCCCTGTCCTCGTCAATGCTCGAGAACAGAGCCTTGGTAGCCCGGCGTTGAAGTTTTATTAACCCTCCTCGAAAAAGTCAAGGACGGTACAATCAGATAAGATGGTCGAGGGTGAACGGCATCCCCTCGATTTTGCTCACCAAATATCGGATCAGGATAACGATTCGCCACAAAGAAGGATGGACCTTACCTAGGGTTACCTGGTATTGACGACAAAAGTCAATAATAACGGAATCGAGGGGACCTAAAGTGAAAGGGTAAATATACACATTCAAAAACCCTTTCACGTAAGAAGTGATATCTTCGTTAGGAGTAGGAACTATTATTTCTTTTTCACCCCAATTGCAATCCTTCTTTAGCTGTTTGAGGTGCTTCTCGGTTATCGAACACATGTACCTAGATACCGGCTCACACCGGCCAGGGACCGATGAACCTTTATCGACCTTTAAATCAGAAGTAAGAACACACGCCCCAGGAACGCACTCCTCAGGCCGTGGTTCTGCCGGTGTCTCATCGGCGGCACACTGTAAAGATAAAGCCTTCTCTTTCTGAGGAATGGTATGTGATGTTTTCGCCATTTTCGAATTCAAAGGTGAGGAATAGAAGAAAGTAACAAAGATTTGTTAGAATTGAAGAGGAGCTTTTGGGAAATCACAGATTTGCGGGTAAATCAGAAAATACGAAAAGGGACTTGGGAAATTTGGAAGATTGAAGATGTAAAAGTGTTAAATGGTAAGAGGAAGGGTTATTTACAGGCTTAAGCGATGGCGGTTCAGTATCAGCGGTGGCCGACCACCGTCTGACATACATTAAATGCCTTAAAAGACTAAACCGACGGGACAGCTATCACATGCGTCATGATCGAGCCCGATGGGGACGTCAGGTTATAATCCGATCGAGCCATTAAAAAATCATATCGTTTATCACCACATTCTTCCTGAAAAACGAGGGGACTATCTGTATACGGTCGAAATACAATTCGGTCTTCGCACGTCCGATCGATCGAACTGACTCCGAACGATGATCGATCGAACTGACTCCGAAGATGGAACAAACAAGCCTCAAACCCGAGGGGCCGATCCATGTCGAGTCAGACATCGTTTTCGAGCTCGAATCCAAATCGAACTATGGCGCAGAGTAAAGCTATCATGTTTATGATCTAGAGACCAACTAACATTTACCCCAAATCAATTCGAGAGCTCGAGTCAGAATCGAGCTCGAGCCAAGATCGAGAGCTCAAGTCAGAATCGAACTCAAACCAAGATCGAGGGCTCGAGGCAAGATCGAGCTCACAGACAAAAGCCATTGCAATCCCATTAGCAAGAATCTTGGCAAAAATTATGGAAAAGCTGATTTATCATGGGTCTCCCACTGAGTATTGTTTTATTATGCTTAGAGCAAGGTCTCTCTATTATAAAGGGCAGGGTTATCATTTATGAAATGGCAAGTTTTTTCAGGCATACATTGTAATAAAAACGCTATATTCCCCCACAATAAAGAATCGTTCTTTCAGGTTTCTAAAATTGATTCTACTTGTTGAATCCTAAGATTCGTTTTTCCTTACAACCTTATCTATTTCGCATTCTTTGCAATCCATATTTATATTTCTATTTATCCTTGCAATTTATATTAAGTTACGCCACATATCCTTGGAACTACGTATAAATTCAACTCTATCCATTTTTCGGGTAAACACATTAGCCAACAAAAACAATGTATGAAACAGGGTAAGAATAAGAAGACTGAGTAACAGAAGTACAAAAAGGAAGCAAGCTTATTGTTCAACTATGATTTTCTTTTTGGGTGATAAGGCAAATGTTATTGTTCAGCTATGATAGATGAGTATGTTACAGGAAGTCTACGGAATCTTGCCATCAAACACCTTAGGTGAATAAATGTGCACATGATGTTGGGTGAATGAATGTGCACGCGCGGTGCTATAATAGTGATCGAGGATCATCTGTATGAATCTCATATAAGACAAAATAGGCAACAACGAAATATAATAGGTATCGATAAAGAAAACAATCATAACCTTGAACCTGAATTCTAAAATCGTGATCTTTAAACTCTAAACTCAAAAAAGTCTAATTCCAGCACATGAAAGAAAAAATCATATCACCTACTAACTGTTAAAGTTACAAACTCATCAAAAGCATCGAATAAAGATAACATATATATACACGTAGAAAGATACAGAATTTCATTATTACTGTCTAATAAGACATGTTTTTCACTATTTTGAATAGATCCATTAAAATCAGAATACAGCAATTTAGAATTAGGCAAAGTTTTCCTAATTAAGAAGATTTTATCAGGCATTTTATGGATATCGCAAATCTCAAAAGCGGATTCAGAAGTCAGAGACTATACAATATAAAAATAAATCGTCAAACATGCATGTGCAAATCAGATACAATTACGATGTCTATGTACAAAATCCAACAAATAGCTATTCGAGAACAGAAAAGAAAGAGATATCCACCAAAATTCCTTTAGCACTAACAGACAAAATGAAGAAAAACTTACCCAAACTGATTCATTTTAAATTCACAATTTTTGTGTAGCCCGTGCAATATGAATATCATTGCCAAGATCTGAGAATATAATTGCTCAATTAATGGTAACAGAGATGGCCAAGACGTGCAAGAGTTGAACCACCAAAATAGACCTCCAAGGCTCCAAAAAAATAAATACATTAGATTCACTCTCTAAGTCCTAAAAGGCGAGGAAATTAGTGAAATTCAGAGAACCACCTGACGATATTCGAGAAGCAACATTTAAAAAGAGCGAGAAAAGAAGCAGCCGCAGAGAAAAGAAGTTGGAAACTGGGGTTTGATATTGAAAAGGGTGAAGATGAACTTTCTAAAGAACACGTGTCTATGAGAGGAGGGGGCACAATTTAGTCACCAATGAGAGAAATCCAAGTTTACCATACAATCTACGCTACAATGTACACTTTGCTCACTTTTATATATATATATATATATATATAGTACTAGTGGCTGTAGGCTCGTGCTGAGCTCCAACACAATAAGGCTAAACTTTTTTTAATCATATGAGTAGTATTGCATTAATCTACAAAGTCGCTTATATCGTTTATATATCAATAGTATGATAGTAATGCAAATTTTAATTGCAAATTTTATGTATTTCACTTTCCTTTTTAACTTCTTCCTCTAGATTCTCATAATTGCTCAACTCCTCTTTCAGTTTTCTTTGTCCCTTCCGATCTTCTCTCTTCCTACTCAATTTATGTGCTTGGTTGTATAGTTATAAGGTGAGTTTTGCTTTCTTAATTTTTTAATTTTCGGAATCACTGTTGCGTAAAAATTGTTTAAATTGGATAAATTATTGATCCACTATTTTCTGTGTTTGTTCGCAAAAAATTACGATTGATTGTGGACTCTGAAAAACGGGGCACTCGTGTTCCTCCAGATTCGCATAATTGTTCAACTCCTCTTCTAGTTTTCTTTGTTGCTTCCAGTCTTCTCTCTTGTTGCTCAATTTATATGCTTCGTTGTATAGTTATAAGGTAAGTTTTGCTTTCTTATTTTTCTGATTTTCGGAATCTCTGCTAGGTAGAAAATGTTTCAATTGGATAAATTGTTGGTCCACTATTTTTTGTGTTTGTCCACAAAAAATTGCTATTGATTGTGGAATCTGGAAAACAGGTCATGCGTGCAAAGGGATAGGTTTTTTACCAAGATTTATTTGTTATTTGTTTAGTTTAAAGAGAGGGGCGTAAGGTGTTTGCTCATTTGCCTGAAGTATGTGTATGTTCCTATACTGCAATATTGAATCTGTATGACTGCAAGATACTCATTTACACTACTAAATAACGAATAATGGTGAAATTTGAGTACAAATTAAAATTACTGGTTGAGAAAGGTATTAGCTTTAGTCGAACTGGACAGAAGTATGCAACGACAAAATTGATTGCTACCATCTTCATAGGGTTAGATGATGTTAAAAAAAGTTGGGGCTTTAGTGGTGAATTTTCCATATTGTTGTTCTAAAAATGAAAGTTTTGATGCATATTCAAGTCACAACACAAGAGTAGTCATAACGTTAAAGTAATGATTCAAATCATCACCGGAGTACAGAATTAAAAATTATGTGGTTGTACCTTGTAATTAAACTTTTTTCATATGTCTTATTTTCATTTTGGCAAACTTATCCATTTTGGTTATGATTAGTATTGACACAGGTAATTATGTGAGTGAGATTTTTGGATAAGATGTTTCACTATTAAATATAGCAACTTTTGTATGAAAATTTCAGGCCAATAAGCCACAAGCTCATAAAATATCCCTGATTACTTGATTCCAAACTATTTTTACTTCTGCAATATGTGCTAGCAATTGCTGCATTTAAAAAAACAGCCTCTCCAATAAACTAGTTATTTTCATGACTCTGCTAAGTGTAAAAAAATTATTTGTTAATATTTTTTTTCACTATAAGAAGTACTCCTGGAAATTTAGAAAGTTTTCTTAATATTTTAAAAATCAAAAGATAGTTCTACAGGCACTTTCTTATAAATTTGTTATGTTTCTATTTTCTTGAAAATTGTTACTATATGTTAGCCAATTTAATTTAAGAAGCAGTTTAGAAAGTTTTCTTAAATTTTTTTAAAATGGAGTCGACATGTTTTTTTACCAATGGTACTTTTATAAATCAAAAATTGTTTGTATGTCAGCAAATTTTAATTTACTTTAGACGATTTCTTAATTAAAAAATCATGAGTAAAGTTAATTAGAAGTTAACCTATTTTTAACCCATACAATAGATATAATAATGTATCCAAGTATTTCATTTAAGTTACTCCTAATCGTTATGTATTACTTAAAGTCTCCTGTTTAGTTTTAGTAGAGTATATTATGTTTAATCAGGAAATTTGAGATAATATGATTAGTAACTGGAATATGGACCTATTCTGATTCCTATGCAGAGTTGGAGCAAATATGATGGCCCACATACATATGTCAGTTAAATAAGCCCTTACACATTTTTTCTAAAGAAATTATTTGTATGTTGCATGACATCACATATGGGCATGTAAAATTCCTTAAACTTCATCTTATTTACAAAAACGTGCTAAGAAACATAATAGAATAATCAGAAGAACAGGGGCAAAAGTTGTAGGATAGGCCCTACACGCTTTACGAAAAACGGCTTCAAGTGACCGTGGCCTTGGGTATTTATGTCAATTCAACTATAAGGGTCCAACTCCTACTTAATAATGTACAACGCCAATTTAAGCATGAACTAAGAATAAATTAAATAAAATATCAAAGATGTCCTTTTGGTCAGCAACCAGGACAACCCTAAGCTCCTCAAACTCCCTCTTATTAATAGTAGGAAAGTAGTAAAAGTAAAAGTAAAGTAATAGTAATAATGTATAGGAATTTATAGGAAAAGAAGAAAAGAAATAGTGAAGCGCTACGACATGATCTGTTAGGTAGATATATGCGGGTGCGGATGAACATGCTAGTTTTAGGTGTTCAAGCACCCATTAACCTTGACGTAAATTTTGTATAGCTATAATAAAAATACAAGAAAGCGGATATAATATTTTAGCGAGCACCCAGGAAACAAAATGACTAGTGGGTGATGTGGAGCTTAAAGCTGAACTAAAGACAAAGACCAAGGTTCGAGTATTCCACACCAAAATGACCTCTATATTTTTAATGGTCAGCTTTTTGTCTTTTGTGAAAAGTTTTACTTTTCCTATACCCTTTAGGTTTTAGTGTGAAGGCTGCAACCGACTTTTTAACCTTTCTCCGTTTTTCAACTAAATTTTCCTTTTCTGATTTTTGTTTTCTCCTTTTCCTTCTTCCTTTCACCTTTAGGTATATTAATTAGATTTAGGAATAAAAAAGGACATCTTCCAGAAAATTTTAAAAACTAAACCCTTCTTGACTTTTCTCACTGGAAACGCAGAGCAGAGAAAAACTAAGACGGAACAATTAGCAAACTATCCTGTCATTCACAAAAATATCAAAATCAGAACATATCACAAGATAATAAGATTTGGTATTTTTATTAAAGTAAGAGATTAAAAATATTTTGTAGAAGGATTTTGAATTTTTTTCATGCTTATTGTTTTTTCTTTGAAAGCATATTCAATGAAAAATATTGTCTTTGTTACCAACTTATTTGATTCCAAAACTTAATTTTGAGAATATATGCAGGTTATTAATATTGGTGGGTTGTGCGATTGAAGAAATTGTGATCGTCATTGCTTCAAAAATTTGTAAGTTTTCATCTCGTCTTTCGAAAGATAAAATAGTTATATCGTTATTGCCGTATTGTTTGTGTTGTCGATTGAAGGGCATTGTTTCCCCAATAGAAATTAATTAACTTATGTGCAGTAAATTTCAGGTGAAATTAAATAAAATTAAATCTTGTTTGTAGGAATTTTTCATCAACCTTTTGTGTCGAGATGGATAAGTTTGTCACAAGATCAAAAGTTGGGCAACCAAGTTCTAATTCTACTCATCCATCTGTTGCTTCATCCATAATTTCGGAAATTCAAAGGGATATATCTCTTTCAGATCATAATTTAGGATCTCTTGATATTGACCAGGGAGATAGGAAGTCCATTGCAGAATATAGCCCTAATATACGAGATGAAGTTAGAAGATATTATATTTAAATGGGACCTTGCCAGCCTGCGAGTCATGATTTTCCTAAAACTAAGTTTGAGAAGACAATGCGTCAGTTTTATCTTGGTTAATTTAAGGGTCAACATTCAAAGTGGTTGGAGTACAACATATCAAAAGATGCTGCATATTATTTGTGTTATTCTTTGTTTAAAAATGAACATGAAAGTCATGGAAATATGGGGGATGCTTTTACAAAAAATGGCTTTAAAGGTTGGAACAAGGCTATGAAAAGATTTAAAGCTCGAGGTAAATAACATCCACAACAAGTGTTTCAATAGGATGATTGATTTAATGAATCAATCACAATCAATTTGCGTTTTTTTTTTAAAAGTAATCCGAGAAAGGAAAAAACGAGTCTCGATGTCGCTTGAGTGCTTCAATCGATGTGGCAAGATTTTTTTTGAGACTAGGATTGCCATTTCGTGGGCACGATGAGAGTTAATCTTCTACAAATAGAGGTATCTTTCTTGAACTCTTGCAATGATATAGAGATATTGATAGGGATATTGGACGCATTATATTAGAAAATACTCCAAAAAATAAAATGATGTGTTCCCCAATGATTCAAAAAGATATTATTAATGCTTGTGCCAAAGAAACAATCAAAGTTATCATTGAAGACTTAGATGGAAATTTTTTCGGGATACTAGTTGATGAATCAAAGGATATATCACACAAGGAACAAATGACATTTGTTTTGAGATATGTTAACAAAGAAGGTGAAGTAATTGAGAGATTTGTTGGTATTATTCATGTTAATGATACATCTGCTCAATCATTGAAGAAGAAAATCGACTCTTTTCTTTTGTATCACTCATTAAGTTCATCCCAAATACGTAGGAAAGATTATGATGGAGCTAGTAACATGCAAGGAGAGCTACGTGGTCTTAAGACTTTGATTATGAATGAAACTCCATCGGCTCATTGCATTCATTATTTTGCCCACCAATTGCAATTAACACTTGTGGCTCTTGTAGTGAAGCATTCAGATGTGAATGACTTTTTCTGTATAGTTACTAATGTGTTAAATATTGTTGGAGCATCTTTTAAGCGCAGGGATTTGCTTCGACAATATCAAGCTGAAAAATTAGAGGAGTTGCTCATATCAGGTGAAGTGTATACTGGGCGAGGATTAAATCAAGAACGTGGGCTTCAACGACCAGGTGATACTCGTTGGGGTTTTCATTATAGAATGTTAGATAACCTCATTGTCCTGTTTTCATCAATTATTCATGTTCTTGAATTTATTGCTTGTGAGGGTCCAAATTATGCTGATAGACTTGTTGCTGAAAGTCTTATGACTAAGATTAAGGAATTTGAATTTGTTTTTATGTTGCACTTGATGTGAAAAGTTCTAATGATGACAAATGATTTGAGCTCCTCATTACAAAGGATGGATCAAGATATTGTCAATTCTATGGGACTCCTCACTCATACGAAGCAAAGATTACAAACGACGAGGAATAGTGAATTTGAATCATTAATGGTTGATGTCTCTTCCTTCTGTGATAAACATGAGATACTGATCCCGAAGATGGACGCTCGCTATTTTCCTGGGAAGTCAAAGCGTAGAGCTCTTGATGTTACATACTCTCATCATTTGCATTTTGAGATATTTAATGATGTTATTGATTTGCATCTTCAAGAGCTTAACAGTCATTTCGATGATGTGAGTACCGACTTACTTCTCAGTATGGCTAGTTTAAATCCACTTAATTCATTTGGTAATTTTGATAAGAACAGGATAATGAAATTGGCTGAATATTATCTGAATGAGTTTGACAGCAACAAGCTCCGGGATCTTAGTTGCCAACTTGACAGTTTTATAGTTTATGCTCATAGTCGTGACAAGAGGTTCTTCAACATGAAGGGAATTGGTGACATTTCTAAAGTGTTGGTTAAGTCAGATCTGCATCAAACTTGGCCACTTGTGTATTTACTTATCAAGTTGACTCTCATTCTTACTGTTGCTACTGCTTCTGTGGAACGAGCTTTCTCATCCATGAACTACATAAAACATGAGTTTCGCAATAACATAGGTGATGAATTTTTAAATAGTTGTTTAGTGTGCTATGTAGAGCATAAGATATTCTCAACTGTGAACAATGATGCCATTATTCATCGTTTTCAGCATATGAAAAGTCGTCGATCACAGTTGTGAATTGTGACTATAAGTCCTTTTTGGTAATGATAATACTATTAGTAGTTCATTATGACTTGTGACAAAGTATTTTTTGGTAATGATAATACTATTAGTAGTTTTCACATTAACTCTTTTTGCTCTTGCATTCGAATAGTTATGCACTTATACTATGCGATTGATAGCAACTTTATATTAAAGGAAGTGAGCACCCACGACCTTAAAATCCTGGATCCGCCACTGGATATATTTCATCAAACTAGAACTGGGAAGTTGCATGGAAGACACGTGGCACCTTCCNATATAGCTTCAAGCCCAACACTAGATAGCTCAATATTACTACAGTGCAGAAGGCAAAAGGAAGGAGAATTAAGATATGCATTCGGTAAAGGAGAAAGTAAGTAACGCAGCAAATTAAAGGAGCAGGTTGACAAGTTTAAAGCAAAAGCTGAAGAAAAGCTAAGGTCTGAAATAAGTATTTTCAGTTTGGTAGAGTTTGTTTTGCTTCATGAATCCAAGGCTAGGCATAGGCATGCTGGGGAGAAGTTATAGAGTAGTTGTATATGGTAATCATAATGAATGGATCGTGTGCATGTCCAGGAAATTAAATTCATTTTGTACAGATGGGACCTACATCTATCTGGGTCAAGTTCGACTCATTTTATCACCTTGATGTTTCCTCGAACAGGGGTCGAAATGTAAAAGGTAATAATCCAAATTGGTTAAAATGCCTCCATATTTAATTTCAGTTTTATCTTATTGTTTTCATTGTTTTGAGATAGCTACATTTGTGGCTTTGTTTATTAGCCCTCTACGCGCCCATTATTAATGTTCTGATAGGACGCAACTCTTTAGTATGCTTTAGTAGTGGTTTATTGTTCGACTCTATATTTTTATTTGTTTGATTTCGTTCCTTTTTATCCTTTTAATTTGGTGTTTGAATGCGATGAATTTCTTTTTCCTCCTCCTCTTTGAAGGGTGTCAGTTACATCCTTGACCGAAAAAGATTTTGAGGCTTTCTTGAAGCCCAAGAATTTCTTACATAGCTGGAGAAGAGGTGGACTCCATAGAAAGACACACAAGCTTTGGAATAATATTGAAAATTTAACCTGAATAGCCACTTACCCAAACGCTTAAATTGAAAATAATCGATATAGATATTTATGTATCATATATGTATAGTTGTATATAATCAGTGTATAATCTATTTATATTTAATAAGACAAGTAAACAATAAATTTGACTGACTAATTGTGTAAAAATCCTAACACTATTGCCATGGTCATTTGGTGGATAATTTAGACCGAGAGAAACAATAGAATCTTTGAAGGCAAACTTAGAAACATACATAGCATAAAACAGAAATGTGTTTCTTTGCTAGCTTATTGTTGCAACATGGACTTTGTAAATGATGTAGATTCCATGTTAGAAATGATAGAGGCTTTGCACACTTTGTAATTTTTAACCCATTGTCTTAGAGCTGTATATACATTTATAAAATATCATTAATTAACAAAAAACTACTGATAACTTGGAGGAAATTGATTCGCATTTGAGAGAAGCTGAAAATTCAAGTTCAAATATTTTATTAGATCTAGCTAGTTTAGTGGTATAACTATAAGATTGTTTACCCTCAAAATCGATAACAATTGAATTTGTAAGTGATTTTAAGGATATGCGGATTAACTTGATACAAAGTGATAAATTAAATTACAATTGAAATAAATAACGACAAAGTAAGTTCAAATCACACGAATTGGACAATTTCAGTCTTGGAAGACCAGTCACCCTCGAATCGGATGTACTTCGATCGGTCTTAAGATACAGATGAATAAGAGCTTAAAGAAAAATAATAATGTATTATTTTTGAGTGCGTGTTACAATGTGTCTTATGAATTATCAGACCCCCTTTATATAGTAGAGGAGTTCTACTTTAGGTACAATTCTATAAACGGTAAATAAATCTCTTGATTTACTGATTAAGGATCCCTTATCGATACGTGTCGTGATTCCCGCCGTAATATCTGACCGGTCACGGATATTTCGACATTCTGTTGGTTATGTTAACAATGTTTCTTCGAACTCGTTCGAGGCTAGGACCGATTCCGGGATCACAGGCTCAATATTCTTCGAAGGCAGGCGTTCTGCCCCCGGGTTCTAACGCGGTGGGACTTGGGGTCGATCTTCAGCCCTTTATTGCCACGTTTCGAGCCTGATCTACCATATCGCAGGCGAGCTCGATTTTGATCGTATACAGATAGTCCTATCATTTTTTGGAGAGTAGACGACGAGAAACGACATGAGCTTCTGATTCTTACTTGGATACCCCGTGACAGAAACGACAAAACAAACAAAACATCTCATCAGTCAAGTCTTAATGGCACTAAATGCTTGTCAGCCGCCGGTCGGCCATTCCTGGATGCGAACCGCCACTGAAAAACTATAAATACCTCTTGCTTTGTTCATTTAAAATTTACATCCAAGCCTTCTACCCTCGTACCTTAGAAATTTCAAAACTTTCTGGCACTTATATCCCGGTTATTTGAGATCTTTTGTAAGAACTCTTGTTCGTCTTCATCTCAAACCATCAAGTGCATTCCTTTAGCTTCCTTTTTTTCCTCATTTTCCTCAATTTTTCAAAGAAATGGCGAAGACTTCAAAAATCATTCCCCAAAAAGAAACTCCTTCCTCCTCGCAGCCGGCTACCGAGGCCGAGGAGACCGCTTCGCGTACTGCCGTCGAGGAACCAGTATCGGAACCTCATCTGAAAATATTCATCCCCGGGGAGGGTATCCAGTCAATGTTGATTTTAAGGTTGAAAAGCCTTCCTCCGTACAAGGCCAGTGCAAGGAGGTCTCGAAGTACATCTGCTCGATCACTGGGGATGTTCTCCCCACGGTAAAAAAGGATTGTAATTGGGTTGACAAGCACGTAGTGGTTCCCGACCCCGATGAAGCCATCACCGCCCACATCGAGGGATACTTAAGTGTTTACACTTATCCCTTTACATTGGGCCCATTGGATCTGATCATCATCGACTTCTGCAAAAGATACGAGGTATGCCTCGGTCAAATTCACCCTTCACTGTGGAGGATCGTGATCCTTCTCCGGTTCTTCGTGAGCAAGATCGATGGATGCGTTCACCGTAAACCACCTTATGTGCTTATACACTCCCCGAATCTTCCGGGGAGGGACTGATAAAGCTCATGCGCCGGGCCAACAAAGTCCCATTCTTGAGTATTGATGAAGACCGGGATCGAGGCTGGCAAGGCCATTTCGTCCGAGTGAGGACTTTGGATTTGATCCCAGCTGAGCGTATGCCGTTTCCCGAGAAGTGGAATACGTCACGTAAGCATAATTTTTCTTTCAAATTTTTATTTTACGCTTTTTTTCCTTCCTTCTTATCGGTGCTTTGTGATGGTGCAGTTGTTGCTTGGGTCCCGAACGCAGTCCCTCGACTCAAGGAGTGGGTCGAGGGAATCGTATCACAAATGCCCTATTCTGAGCGCTCATGGCGCGAGCTTTCGAAGGCCCGCTGGGATGCCCGTTCTCGTGGTGAGATTCCTTTCCTGAGTAAGTAATTTTTGGGTTCCTCTTGTGTCATTAAGTTCTCACTTGTTTTATTTCTTTTCGCGGGTTTATCCAACGATGTCAAACTGAAGCCTCCAGCCAGTAGCGAGGACTTACCCACCGAGTCCCCTGCTCCAAGACAGGCCGAAGAGAAGAAAAGAAAGAGGGCTCCGAGTTCTCCAAGCTCAGAGAAGAAGAAAACAAGAAGAAGGTTGGTGCGCAAGTCTAAAGAAAGCACCAGCACTCGAGCACCATCTTCGGATTCACTCTATCGGTTGAGGGACGAATTCGAAGAAGAAGGTGAAGCCTTCGATCTGATGGCCCGCGTGATGTCGCAACTCGAAGGGCAAGGGGCCTCCGAACCGGAGAGAGGCGAGGCCGATCTGCCTCAGGTTAGGGAGGCCGACGAGGAGGCCGGGGCTGAGGCTTCCCGGGATGCAGGCAATGCCCCGAAGGAAGTACACGGTGTGATAGACATCACTAAGTTGCCTTCATTCACTGAGTTCATATATATCGAGGCTTAGACGGTGAAAGAACGTCCCAACTAGGGGGCCCATAGAGCGGACGACCCCTTCCGTAGATATTTTGATGGCGTGGATTCTACCTCCACAGAGGACGTCATCGGATTGGGTGACTTAGAGGTACCGAAGAGAGTCCATCTTCGGTAATAGGAGGGCCGTCCTCTCCGCCCCCGTAGGGGTGGCCAATTACTTTCGGTGTCTGTTGACCGAGGAAGACCAAGCCAAGATGAACGAGGTAGATGCGCCCTGCCTGTTCAATGAAGCACAACAGGCGCTAAACCGAGTAATTTCAGATATTTCTTGATGACTTTAACTTTTACTTAGACTAATTCATAGATAACCCTAAAAATTTATGTCTGTAGGCCTCGGTGCTTCATCATGAAACTTTTCTTTAATATTGGGACTAGCTGAAATAGCTTGAAGCCGAGGTCCGAGAGATCACTGAGAAGAGAGATACTTACAAACTTCTGAGCGAGCAGCGTGAAGGGGAGGCTAAGAGTCTCCAAGCTGAGCTGGAGGTGGCCCGGAAGGAGCATGCCGACCTGGTTGAACAGGTAAAAATATTTGAAGTTAGTGACGATGAGCTAGACTCGGTGACTAATGGTCGGAATCCGCAAGTCCAATAGAAAATCGATCGGATCGACCAACTCCGAGCTGAGCTGGATGTAGTCAAGGCCGAGGCCAAACAATGGAAAGGCAGGATAGACCACCTGGCCTTGAAAAAGGAGACTGCTCGGCCGCAGCTGACTTCAACTGAGGTCCAGCTTCGAGTGGCAAAGGAGAAAGCCGAGGCGCGGGCCCAAAAGTTTGAGGAGCTCTAGTCTCAACTAAGCTCGGCCGTCTCTGATCAAGAAACTCTCTCCAAGGAGCTCAAAATGGCCAAGTCGGTGGTTGTGGTGGTCAAAGCCAATGCCGATGAGATGGTGGCCC